AATATGTATTGTATATTTCACTCGATGAAGACAATTTTTTTTTATCGTATTATCTATTATAATAATCCTATTAAATTTAGAATTTTCGATGGGGGATGATTTAAAGAAAAATAATAATTTTATAAAGTTAATGTAAAAAAAAAAAAAAAAAAAAACGTACTCTCACATGGAATGCTCCTTTACAATTTTAATTCCAAAATATTCTTTTTTTCAACTTACTCTAACCAAATACGTAGTCCAAACACTACTAGTCAAAGGGTCAACATATTCTGTGAGCTCACTGTTCAGACGGAGATTCGCCGGAGAAAATGGAAACGCCGGCGAGTGAAGTTCCGAGGGTCAAATTAGGCTCGCAGGGCCTAGAAGTTTCTAGAATCGGGCTGGGTTGTAGAGGCATGTCTCCCAATCATGGCCCGCCCAAGCCCGAGCCCGAGCCCGAAATGATCAAGCTCATTCAACACGCCATTGATCGCGGCGTCACCTTCCTCGATACCTCCGATCAATATGGACCCCACATCAATGAACTTCTCATCGGCAAGGTAAAATAAAATGTAACAATTACTGCTTTAATGTGCTGTACCTCCTGCTTTATTGTGTTGTACCTTGCTGCTTTCCAAGTTGTAATTACTCCCCTTTTTGTTCTAGATATTAACAACATTTTCTAGAATTTTAGTTTGCATCTTATCAAATTACTTAAATGAAGTTTCCAATAGCATATACACTAACTGAGGTAGTTAAATATGTGCATTCTAAATTTTATTTGTTTAGGCAATCAAAGGAATGAGAGAAAAAGTACAAATAGCTTCCAAGTTTGGCATAAGTTTGATAGAAGGGAAAATGGACATTTGTGGTGATCCAGAGTATTTAAGAGCTTGTTGTGAAGCTAGCTTGAAGCGACTAGATATCAACTGCATTGATCTTTATTATGTTCATCGGATTGATATCCGAGTGCCTCTTGAAATCACGGTTTGACATCTTACTCCTATTTTTTTTTTCCATTTATTATATTTGAGGATTTCTGGCAAACTTGTTGTAGTACTATTCTGTCGCTATCTGTTGTATACACTAGTACCTGTTGTTTCTTGTATTTCCGTTACTTCTTTTTCTAGACTACTATGAGCTATTTTTCCTTGAGCTGAGGGCCTATCGATAACAACCTTTCTATCTCTACGAGGTAGGGGTAAGGTCTGCGTATACTCTATCCTCACCTAGACCCCACTTTGTGGGACTACACTAGGTACGTTGTTGTTGATTCCTAGCGAATTGTTGGATTGTGTGGTTTGTGTAAAGAGGTAACAGTAACCAGTTAATCACTTGGATAGAAGTAGATTTCACTTGGATATAGCTTGGCTAGAAACCGCAAAAATCTTCTAGACTTCTAAAAAAAAGAATTGATTGAATCAACTGTGTGGGTAATAGTCCCAAGCTTATTTACTTGCATGTGCTTTTATATTGAGAAACTGACATATTCTTGAAGATCTTCTGATGCACTATATTTCTCGGAATCGTCAAAAGTGTTGATGGAGATGAGTGTGTGTAGGATCCTTCAAAGGCAGTACTTTGGGAGAGTCCGATCAATATATCTGATGTGTTGTTTGTCAATCCATAAGATAAAGTCAGAGACGAAATAATGTTCTACTGACAGTAGAGAAAAAAGGGGTGTACGAAAAGGTTGAATTGAATCTTATGCTATGTGAGAAATGTTATGTGTTTCTCTCGAATTCTCGGAGGATAGGCCAATGCTTTGAAATTTTTGTGTTGATAAAGTTTACTTAGTAAAAGAAACACTCATCTATGCTTACTGTAATTTTGTAGTTGCTCCAACTATGAAAGAATTTTTCTTTATGTCACATTTATCCACTCTACACTCTGCCACCGACGAAATGCTTTATGATGAAATCACAAACAAAGGTTAGCTGAGACCTGTACAGAAATAATCACGGAGATCAGGATTCTGAAAAAGGTTGAATTTTTTGTGTAGCATTCAGTGTGAGATTACTTGACAATTGACATTTTAAGGAGAAGAAGCAGCATCACTGTTAGCTACTACTATCGTTTTTGAAAGCATCACCGAGTCAAAATTAATCATCTTTTGTTATAAACAAGTGTATAAAAGAGATAAAATGTCCAGTGGATGAAAGAATGTCAATAAAGACGATACTCCTGTCAAATTGAAAATCAACATTTTGAGGCTTATGTAACAATATAATTGGGCATTTTGTTTATTGTGCCTATTGTTATTGTTTTGTTGTTATGATATTGTGGCATAGTGTGTAGATGGGAGAACTGAAGAAACTGGTTGAAGAGGGTAAAATCAAATACATAGGTTTATCTGAGGCTTGTGCAGCAACAATCAGAAGGGCACACGCGGTGCATCCAATAACAGCTGTTCAGATGGAGTGGTCTTTGTGAACCAGAGATCTTGAGGAAGAAATAGTTCCAACTTGCAGGTAATGTGTCTCTTAGAGTTCATTATTTCAGATAATATGAAGGTTCTTCTGAGTAAATGCCTTTTCCAGAGAATTAGGAATTGGAATTGTTCCGTATAGTCCTCTCGGACGAGGATTCTTCTCAGCAGGTCCAGAGTTGATTGAGAGCTTGGCCGAGGGAGACTTCTGCAAGGTTGGTCTAGTTAATTGCACTGTCTTCGATCTTGCGTGATTTTCATTTGCATTTTTACCATTTACCTCAATTAGCTGCATATCATAGGCATCATTTTCCTTTTAAACCAAAATTCTGTAATATGTGTCATTGGCTTTTTGTGAAACTCTCCAAGCCTCTCCTTGGGGGAGCTCAACGTTAGCATCAACGCTGTGACTTTCCTACTCTTAATCAACGGCTTGCTGATTGATTGAGCTCGACCGATCTACCAGTATTGATCTTGATGAGATTTTGTCAGTATTGATGAATTAAGGTTATGAAACACATGCTCCCTTATGAATAAGGCGATCTGAATACAAGATCAACGAGTCTTAACTTCTAGTGCAAATTTGGACATAAAAAAAGAGCACTCTTTATAAACTAACATGCTTAGAGAGTACAAAAAGGTACTCCTATCCCACAAAGAATGGCGGGTCACAGTGTCATGGTCAATGCATCCAATTTTTTTTGTATATCTGAATTATAGAAATTTCACTAGAAATCACAATATTTATAACTAGAACGATACAAAAGTAGAGTTGTTTAAACGAAGTTGTCATCAAAGAAAAAACTGTTTTGACTCATTGGTACTGGGTAACTCTATCCATCAAGGCATAGACAGATAGAAAGAAATCACCTAGTGTATTTTATTTGAACTTGAACCTCATAGTTCTCAGTCTAGTTTGCCAACTCATCCTTATCGCTCGAAATCTCTTCTGATACAGCATGTTATGATTAACGTATAAAACAATACATATGATCGGTACGGCTGATGTATGTTTCTTTTATCATTTGTTTTTTTTTCCAGAATATACCAAGGTTGAAGCCTGAAAATTTTGAGCACATCAAGCAAATATACGAGCAAGTCAAGGAAATAGCATCAAGAAAGGGATGCACCACAGCACAACTTGCATTGGCTTGGATTCTTCACAAAGGAGATGACATATGCCCCATACCCAGTACCACCAAGATTGACAACCTCAATGAAAATATCGAAGCCATATCTGTAAAGCTGACAACTGATGAAATGATGCAGTTAGAGTCCTGTGCTGCTGAAGATATGGTTAAAGGCGAAAGGCACGCATTCATGTGGGCGACTTGGATAAATTCGGAGACTCCACCATTGTCCTGGATAGATGAATAATGGATACTTTCTTGTTTTGCTTTGGAAGAATCCCCGTTAAAGCCCAAGTCTAATTCGAAGTAAAGGCTGAACCCGGGCTAATGGCAGTTCAGCATTTCTTTCTAGCAGGTGCAATAGAGACTAGGATTTACAAATCTACAATGTTCTGGACAAATGTATACACACAATGTAGTTTGCTAGTAGTCTGAAGTTCTTTTGCTAGTGCATACCTTTATATCCAAGTTTTCCTTGTATTTGTGATGAAAATTTATTGTTATCCCCTGTGTACCTTTGATCCTTTGTGCGATAGAGCCCTTCCACACAAGACTCCTGAATCACTCCAAGTCTCGATTTTTCAATGTTATCATATGGTTTAGAATTGTTTGTGCTTAATGCATATTCAAGTTGTACTTTTTCATCAGATACAATGGCCGCTAAACACTCTATAAAGTAGAGCATTTATACGGTTCTTCTCTATACTTGATTTACATAAAACTTGGAGTATCTCAAACTGATAAATCTTCCAGAGACTCAAATCTGTATCCTCGTAAATTTATGCTTTACATTTTCTACCTGAGTTTTATAGATATGTATATGTTCATGTTAAACTACCTGATTTTATGTAGGCTATCAAAGGAATAAGAGAGAAAGTACAAATAGCTATCAAGTTTGTTATCCAAAAGTACTACTTGGTGACATTTTTGAAGAGTCGGAACAGTATAGATAGCTTTTGTACATGTACTCAATACTTATTTATGAAGTGAGACTTATGTTATGGATTGCTCCTAAATTATTTAGTACTAAGCTATCAAAACAACTTTCATTCAGTATTCTATTGATTGATAATAGGGAGGTATACAATTGTATACTTTATTGAATTTTGCAGGTGTAAGATGAAGGGAAACAACTATTATATTACAAAAAACAAACAAGAAGCAATGTTTTGACAGGTTGTACAATAATAAAGCTGCATAACAAAGGCGACAAGAAATCACAGTGAAAGACCATCTAAAACATACAGAAAAAGGACAGGGATTTCAGCTCTAGGCGCACAATATACTTGAGCATGAGCATGGCTGCAACAATTATCAAATTGAAATACATCGTCGTTAGTTTGAGATCAAAATGGAGAAATTAAGTGAAAGCAAGCATTAAATTAGAAGAAGGAACAAGAAACTATATATACCATTGTTGTGATTACAGGCACATGATTGACTCTCACAGCTGCCAGATGACCCTAAGAATTCTGTATTACACATATTGTTGTCAAGTTAGATGCAGGCAGATACTTAAAAACAAAACATAGGAGTTTGTTTCTACTTACTTTGATAATGAGGTCAATACGGTCGTTTCCTTCAGTCTCTTCAACACCTTTCTTAATCCTCTCAGCTGAATCCATCAGAGATTCATTGTAGCAGTCAATCAACTTAATCTGTTTCAGTGTTGGAATATCTGCAAAGCTAAGGGGGATCTCCTCTAGGTTACTACACTTTTTTATAACAAGTGTTTCAAGCAGGGGAAATGATTCCTCCGAGGCATCCCACCATGAGATCTCTAAGTTCACCAGTTTCAACAACTTAAGTTTATGGAACGTGATATCTCCAAGGCACCACTCTTCTGATTGAGGAAAAATTGGTTCCCCTTCTGTCAAATACCATTCTTCTAATTGGAGATACTCCAGGCTTGGCAGTCCTACAATGAAGGGAATAGCACTTTCTATATGAATTCCTTCAAGTACAAACTTGTTTAAATTTGAAGGCAATTGTAACCCAGTTAAAGTGTGCCACTGCTTAAAGGAAAGGCAAAGGTCTTGAAGCTGGGTAAGATTCTTCAATGTGAGACAAAAAGACTCTATAATATCAAAATCGCTCCCAAGGCTGAAGTGAAGTTGTTGAAGATTAGGACACCTCCTTAATAACACATCCACCCTATCTGCTTCAGCAATTGGAAAGCTAACAATATTCTTTAATATCGTCAAATTTTCCAATTTAGAGGATCCTTCAAAGTGACCTTTCTTATCCCCTTCCCAATCAAATTCAGCTCTCTTAATCTCAACATGCCTTAATTTTTTCATTTCCCAAAAAGACGCTGGTAACATAAATGAATGAAAAGTATTCACAATTAAAGTTTCAAGATGGGGATGTGATTCTGGATGAAAATCGAATATATTTGCCTCAACTGCGAGGTACTTCAGGTGATTCAGTGGTTTCATTGTAGCTGTCGACAAATTATACGCATTATGGGAACTCAAATCCAAGACCTTTAGAAGTCGGAATTTATGAATCCAAGACCATAAGTCAATCCCATCAAAAGCTTCTCCGTTCGCTATTAGTGACCTCAACGGTTGATGAAAACGCTTCCGTGTTTTGGATCCCAGAGAAGCAAACTTGGAATGATCTCCACTCAAATTGAAGTTCACTCGACTTACCTTCCAATCACAAGGTTGAAATTGGCTAAAATTTCCCTTAACAGGCAAAATAAACTTTTCTTCTCTACTCTTCTCCAAGCAAAAGTGAAGCACTACATCATGAACCTGACAGTATTTGACTTTTCCATTGTATCTTCTCCTTGAAACCATCACCACATTACTGCTAATGAGATCCATCAAGTAATCTTTAGCAGATTCAGTGTTCACCACTAAGTCTTCCGCTATCCATAAACTTATCAATTTAGACACTGGAATTATTGCATCCTCCGGAAACAGCCCCATATAAAGAAGACAAGGCTTTAAACAATCTGCTAAGTTATCAAAACTCAACTTCATTGTAGCCGGACTATAGTCTTCGGACTCACAATCAATAAGGTCAAATAAAGAATCTTTCACCTCATTCCACCAAGATTCTTCCATTTTCCTTTTTTTTATTATTCCAGATACCAAGACAACCACTAGAGGCAGTCCTTTGCATTTTTCTGCAACTACTTGACTTACATCTTGTAGTCCAGGGGGGAAATCTTCCTTTTGAAACACTTTTTTCTGCAATAATTTGCAACTCTCTTCTGTTGTGAGGAATGGAAGAGAATAAGGATCAGTATGGTACTTGACTTGCTCACCCACTTTCTCAAGTCGCGTTGTTACTACTATTCTGCTTCTATTTCCAACGTCTGGAAAACAAAGCCTCAAGTCATCCCATGCCATACAATCCCACATATCATCCAATACAATGAGATATCTCTTGCCCATTAAGATTTTCCTCAACTCGTCAGCAAGGATGTCATCCTTATCCCCCTTGTCCTTGGAACCGGTAACTTGACTAAAAATCTCTTGTAATAGCGTTCTCCGGTTATATGTTTGGGAAACGATGCACCATGCTCGAACATCAAAATGAGAAACAATGTTGTCACTATTGTACACCTTTCTAGCAATTGTCGTTTTCCCTTGTCCCCCCATGCCTACAATTGGGACGACGTCTAGCTCATTTGTACCTCTAATCAAACACTGAATCATTTTTTCTGTGTCTTTCCCAAAACCCACTATCTCCTCATCAATCACTGGATTGTTATGTTGAGTTGGCAGGTGTTTAAATAGTGCTACCACATAGCAAGGCTTAAGAGCAACGTCTGCTGACCACATCTCAGTCACCTGTGCATTAATGTGCTTGATCTCTTTTAAGATTGTAGGAAGTGAGCAAAAAATATGCAAAAAAGCATTATACTGAATAGAGTCAATGGCAAACTCAGCTTCATATGCCAAATTGATGGTACGTCTTTGGAGATTTTTAGGAATTTTATGTTCATGGTGCACCTTTAGAACATCTCTGAAAATGGATGATAAAGATGAGAGCTCCTTCTCTAAAATGGATATATGACTTGATAGCTCTTTCTCCAAATTACCAAAAAGAGGTTTCATCAAGAAATCTAAATCAGATTTAGATTTCGACATCTCATTCAATTTCCATAAAAGAGAATCCAGATAGCTCAATCCACAAAAGGTGGAGAACTGAGATGGAGTAAATTTCAAGGATTTGTAGTAAGTTTCCACTTGTGCCTTCAGATCTTTAGTTTTCTCCAATATTTGTAACGAGCAAAGATTTATTTTGCTAGTGTCATCTCTGTTTATAGAGCTAGGAAGAAGTTTTTCCATGACATATAGAACATCACCTGCTATAGCTCCAACTTTTTCCATAACCTCATTCAACCAGTTACCATTAATAACATGATTTGACACATCAGCATCAAGGAAGACCAACAAGAACTCTATTGCCACATCAATATTTTGAGCAGAGACATCATCAAGAAAGTTCTCGAGCTTTTCTTTTCTGAGATACATCAATAGTTTGTGGAGATGATGAGAAAATCCTTTTGGTAATTTCTTGTCCTTGAAAGTTCTTGAATGAGTAAACTTTGAAGCCTTTAGTTCACTCTGAAAAATCTTCTTCATTTCCAGCTCCACTAACACAATCAAGAATAATAGATAAGGAGGTGTATTAAAGATTTCATTGGCCTCATCCTCATCAATACCATTTATAATATCAGAAAAAGCAAGACAAAAATGTCCCACATTGTTAGCCATGAACTGAATTCGAGTCTCCAAACATCCCAGCTTCTCATGGTTGACGTAACCATTTATCTCTGTGGCATATAAATATGACAAAAATCTCAGTTTCTTTTGAACAACTTTCAGTTCCTTTAAAAATCTGAGTATTTCATGGTTTTCTTCAGGAGGGTCAGACCTAACACATTCCAGGCAGAGTATCAGTACATCATTTAGATTCTTTTCGAGGCAATCCATACATTCTGACAGATCAAGATCAAGATCAAGATCATTCAACTCATAATTATTATTTAAAATGGTATCACGTTCCATGAATTCCAACAAATGTGATTCTAGCCTTTCCAGATTAAGGTTAGCTTTACATTCATCTGGAATCCCATCCAATACCTGGTGAAGCATTGCCATAGTCAATTTGGCATTCTTTTTGTGTTTGACTAAGGAATCACGAAAAAGAACATGATGACACTTTATAAAGGTTCTCAAAACTCTTAGCGCTATTTCAAGTTTCTTAATTTTTTCAATCCTGGCGCTAGACAGATCACGTTCACTCTTGATCCTTCTTAGGTGATCTAACATTTCCTCAATTTCATTTTCAGCCATCTTCTCTTGAAAATTTCCTGCAAGTTCACCAACTCTTGGAATTAGGTTCATTAACAACATTTTTATTCATGTATTTCAATATCTAGTGTTTTTAGCTACGTTAATTCTTATGAAAGATAATACAGTTTATATACCATTTCATCTAATTCAAATAGTGCATATCATCTCAGACACATTTCACTCAACTAATAGTCATTTTCTTTAAACAAAAAGAAACTAATATCAAATGTGTGACATTAATGAAGGAGGGAGGACCGATAAGAGTAGGTCAAAGAAAAGGATTGACAAACATCTTAGTTGAATCACACACAGGAATTGCCCAAATAAGAGACGAAAGTAAAAAAAAAAAGTTACAATACATAACACAAGTTCACTACACTTTTGAGCTCGACGATGCATATCACGAAAGCTTGGCCCTGACAAGATGGTCATTATAATTATTCTTCCGACTAACTTAACATATAGAAATGGAAAATGAAACATCAACTTAAAATTGCTTATTTTTTAGATCTCAAGCTCATCTAATGTGTGTCTAAACTATGATAGAAGTCGAGAAATTAAAACAAGTTTCATCTAAAAGGGGGGAAATGATTTTCCTCACTTATAAAAGGGAATCATTTTCCTTACAATTGTCGTAGCTTTTATGTTCACAATACTTGCTTGAACTAACACTTAGGTATTATAATATATAGTAGTATCGTTGCACGTGCCTAGATATGAACTATTAAAAAATCACATAAAATTTCTTTAAAATTGTGTTTGAGTTAACAATAATGTAAAAGAGTTAAAATTTGCCATCAAACATCGGGAAAATGCTTGTTGATGTGCCTCCCGTTAATAGTTGGGCTCAATCATGCCGCTGCTTTACAGAAATGGTCCATTCGTGCCATTATTTTTTAACAGGTAGCTGGTTTGATGGTTAGCAAAATCGTTCTTTCCACGTGGTCTCTTATTAGAGGTCCACATTACCAAAATTAAACTGATAAAAAAAGTTAAAATATGCATCAAATTTTGAAAAAAGGTTTATCTATGCCATCTGTTAATTATTGGGCTCAACCATTCCATTGTCGTTACAGAAGGGACCCATTCATACTACTTTTTAATGGTCAGGTTTCATGATCTCGCAAAATTAATTTTTTTTCACGTGGTCTCTTATTAGAGGTCCACGTGCCAATATAAACCAACCTAATTAAATTAAATTTGAAATTAAAACCCGACCCATAACATCACACTCGACCCACCCTAACCTATTTCCCTTTTTATTTCTCCCCAAACACTTAAATTGATCAATTGACAAGAAACTGACATATAAATTCATCATTAAAATGGGAGAAATTTTGGATCTAAGAGTTTGTAGGAGAAATAAAAGGGAAATGGGTTATGGTGGATCGGGTATGGTGTTAATGGGTTGGATTATAATTCCAAATTAAACTGCAGTGACATGGTTGAATCCAACTATTAACGAATGCCATATATGAACATTTTGTCACAGTTCAATGGCATATTTGAACTTTTTTTTGACCAGTTTCATTTTGGTGACGTGGACCTCTAATAAGAGGCCATATGGAAAAATGGTGTTGCAAAACCACAAAATCTGAATATTAAAAAATAATGGCATAATGGGTCATTTCTGTTATGACAAAGGCATGTGATTGAACCCAACTATTAATGGATGACATAAATGAGGTTTTTTTTCCCTCAAAGTTGGATGACATCATTTAGCTAATTTTTTCCCTATTAATTACTAGTACAGAGAAACAACTAATGCATACCCAATGATTAATAATAAAAAAAATGTGTGGGGGGAAGGATAGTACGATTAGTCGCTCAGTTGGTTGGATATCAGAATTTTCACCTTATGATAGTTCAAATCCCTACCCCCGATTTGTATCTATAAAAACATATAACCAGCCATCTGCTGTTGAATCCAACTGTTAATGAATGACATAGATGAACATCTTGTTACAGTTCAGTGGCATATTTGAACTTACTTTTCGACTAGTCTAATTTTGGTGACATGGACCTCTAATAAGAAGCCAGATGGAAAAAAATAGTGTTGCAAAACATAAGTCCTGACTGTTAAAAATCAATGGCATAATGGGTCATTTATGTAATGGCAATGACATGCCCAACTATTAAATGAGGGTTTTTTTCTTCTCAAAGTTGGATGACATATTTGAGCTTTTTCTCTATTAATTATTAGTACAAAGAAACAACTAATGCATTCCCAATGATTAATTAAAAAAAGTGTGTGCAGAAGGATAGCACGATTAGTCGCTCAGTCGGTTGAATATCACAACTTTCACCTTATGACGGTTCAATTCCCCTACCCCCAATTTGTATCTATAAAGACATATAACCAGCCATCTGCTGTTGATCACTTTTTTAAAAAATAAAATAAAATAGAAAATTAAAGAGGAAAACAAAAATAAAACACTTCTTTAACTGGTTCAACAGAGCAAAAACTAATTATTATGTGTGATATCCATTTTTTATTATCACAATATTTGTAGTTTTGGAACCATGAAGTTTATTGGTAAAATGAATTAATAACTCAGTTGTTGTATCAATTTAAGAACTTTGAGATTTTTGAAAGCAATAGCAAGTTAATATATACTCATATCTTACAATTTTCGAGTGTGACGAGTAGTTGAGTATCGATCTTCTTTTTCCTTTTTGTATCTCCAAGTTCTGATCCAATCCTAGAAAAAGAGTTGTTGATCATATATATATATATATATATTATTATTATTATTATTATTATTATTAGTGGGAAGCTCCAAAGTGAAAAGTTGAATTACCATTTTGTCCTTCTACTAAATTTAAATTTGATTAAATATAAATATTTTAAGGAAATATCCTTTTGGCCAGCAATATCAATGTACTCATTACTTAAATAATCTTAATCACCATATTTATATTTATAGATGTATATATTTTTAGTAATAAGTCTGAGTTCAAATAATCTGAAATTTGGAGAAAATGAAAATTAAAGTCTATTTCACAATCTCATAATAATAATAATGTTAAAGGACAGCAGTTACCAAGAAACTCTTCATCAACTTTTCCTTTTCGTCTCCTTTCATATGAAACGTTGGCTCTTATTTTTTGGTGAGAATTTGTTTTGCCCAGTTATTGCTAATTGTTATTAGTGATATATATCCTCTATTGTTCCTTTTCATGATATTTATCAATTACCAAATAATTGCAAGAGGTTTACTGCTAACCAACTTCTCCGCCATGATGCTCAAATTGCACATTTGGTTAAAAGAAACAAAGGTAAGTAACAAAATATTTCACATGGTACTGCTTGCGACAAGTTTATGTAAAGTAACTTTGGACTTTTTATTGAATACCACGATCGAACAAGAAATTAACTTTAATCGTCATATTATCATTTGACGGTACACATATTGCAACTAACTATTTCTATGCACATTGTTGTGTGGTTGTTTCTACCGTCTAATCCTTATTTAATTGACAAATTGCAAACTTGTATTTCTTTCCATGCATCTATTTCAAAATTTTTGTTTCTTTATTGTGTATCAGCTTTATTTAGGCACAACTGTGCTCATATTTTTATTTTAACATAACAACAGGCACTGTTGTACTGGATATAACACATTTATGCAATACTTTGTGCATGGATGAAGTACTTCAGATTTTAAAAAAACGATCCATAAGATAGGAGTTAAAAATTTATTGTCTGGTGAATACTTTTCAAGTTATGACTTTGTGGTTGTTGAGGCATCAAAATGATATAAGGAGAATTTGTTGAATTTAAATTATCTATGTAGTTGTATGCATAATACTTGTACTACTTCATAATTAACCATTTATTTTTTAATTCATTTGGATTATAGAATTGAGAGGTATTTTATTTTTTGTGAAATGAAAATGTATCTTTTTCTTTAACATTCAAATATCATATTTACATAAAATGCTTGCTTGGCAGAGAAAAAAGAAATATTTTATTAGGTAGTGCAATTAACTTTATATTTCACTTAATCTGATATAGCATTTTTAAATCTAAACAAACAATCCTATTTGGGGTTTTGTAAAAAGATATCTTTCTTCATATTTTTCTTTTGTAAATTTTTTAAATATTTTTACATGCATTTATTAAAATTAGAGCAAGAATTCTCTTGCATACTATCAGAGGGCCAGAGGCTATTATATCGTCCCACTAATTGTGTTTTTAATGAATAGATTTAAATAGTAAAATCTGCAATATTTTGATGTTAATATTTTCTATTTCATAAGTTAAAACTTTTTTAAAATGTAGAAATTTTATATTAATTGGGGGATAACGTGCAACACACGTTCCTAAAAACTAGTAACTTATACATAAAGCAGATTCCACTTAAAAAGGGATAAAAATTCAAAGGGAGATCTAGAAAAATATTTATTGAAAAATACCTGATAAAGATTGGAGTAGGATTAAGCTAACAAGAAAAGATTAATATGAGCATAATTAACTTAGAACAATGAGGAAATGTTGTTTGTGTCATACTCTTAACAAGATTAGTGGATGAATAATTATGGTTAACCAAAGGACTGGATCTACATCCTACAAAAAAGTCAATGGTTGTATTATGAATAATTATTGTGTTTAATTATCATGTTAATTTTTAGATAGCTAATATATTGTCAGGTTAATATGCATTCCTATTGGCTTTCAAAGTCAATGGTTGCATTATTTAATGAAATAACATGGCTTATGATATATGCAGAGAGACAACTACTTTATTGGAAGGTTAGTATCTATTCCCAATGATTAATCAAAGTGTGTGGAAGGAGAGGACAGTTGGCAACAGAGAACTAATTAATTGGCTACGTGAACTTTCACATTGTCCTTTATTAATCACATTGTCGTTCTTACTGCAAATAAATCAGTTCTACTTATTTAGAGTCTTATAATTCACACTGGTAAATCTTATTTTGTTGGATAAATTCAGAGACGCGCGCCACCATTGTCCTCCTGGAAAGCTGAGTAGGGG